CCCCAAAACCCCAAAACCCCAAAACCCCAAAACCCCAAAACCCCAAAACCCCATATAAGCTATTTAATGTTCTAATTTACAATATTAATATAAAACAGTCAAAATGGAATTATCAAGCATTGATAGTCAAAGTATTTCAAGCGAGAGTTCAACTGGATCCGTTCACATGGCATCTAGCCAGAGGCTAGATGTCTCTATGATTGGGTCCCAGCTCCTCACTCAGAAATATTACTGGAGTAAGCAATGGTTATAACACAAAAGCATTTGCAAATTTTTGGAATTGTTCTATTAAGGCAAAAACTATCAATTTTCCTTGACTAGTCAACAATGTTGTGAGTTTTTACAAATTTTGTTCCAAATGTGGTATTTTTAAGAAAAATTTCACATTTAACAAATACTTATTGTTTTTATAGAACCAAGTAAGACTCATATCATGAGCATGCAGTTTGATAGTGAGAGCAAGTTCTTAGCCACAGGCGCTCTCAATGGAGGAATCAGTATTTACAACTTGTACTACGGCCATGTTGATGCAACAATTGAAGCTCCAGACGAGTCTGAAGAGATTCTCCCAGATGGGGAAGTCAAGTATCCTGTCACTTGCCTCAAGTGGAAACCTCATTTTGGAGGCTACAGGAGTCACAGTAATGTTCTTGCAGCTAGCTATGGAAATAATGTTGTAAAAATTTGGGATACTAACAGTACATCAGACCCTTTAACTAAAATTATCGAGGAGGGTAATACCGGAGTATACTCAGTAGACTACAATCTTTCCGGAGGAGTCTTAGCCACTGGTGGAGCTGATGCTACACTTCGTCTGTACGATACCTCAGATTACAGGCTGATTCAAGAGTACAGCCCTGGATATGGAGGAAAAGTAGATCACTTTAATAGAATTCACTGTGTGAAGTACAATCCTGAGGATGAACACATTATCTACAGCTGTGGTGCTGATAAGAAAGTCTCTATCCATGATACCAGAATGAAAGACCCTATCGCTTCTATCTTAGGTCCTTATGTCATTGGGGATGCTCTTGATATCCAGAGTACCAAACTACTCACTGGATCTTACAGATCTGAGGACTGTCTGGAAGTATGGGACATCAGAAATTACAAGAAAGTAGATACCTATGAATGGGAGCCAGACTCAGAAAAACCTTCTGGGCAAGTAATAGCAGCTAAATTCATGAAAGGTTCCACTTACGGAATAATAGCAGCAGGAAGGTCTGAGAAAAATGTTAAAATTTTTGATCGAAAAAATGGAGATGTTCTGGCAAAAATTCATGGATTTGAAGAGATGAATTATAGCATGGACCTTAGTCATGAGGGTAACCTTGTGAGCATTGGAAATAAGAACGGGTCTGTATTCTTATACGAGTACGAGTAATTATATCATACCTTATTAACTAATAATTTTACCATACTCCATTCCGACCTTTAAGTGACAGAATTATCCCAGAATCGACGTTTCTGTTTTGCGATCATTTAAATGATTTATCCAATTATCTGATGACGGCACGGGGTTTTGGGGTTTTGGGGTTTTGGGGTTTTGGGGTTTTGGGG